GTACAAGTGAATCTTTCTAAAAGTGGAATATAAACGTCTTAACACAATAACTAAGAAAATGACATAAAGGCTATGTTAACCAGCTTGATGAAAATATTTCAAATTGTATATGAAAACACCACAGTATACCCCATGATTGCATTAATGTACACAGCTATCATTTAATAATAGTAAAAAAAAGATATATGTACCAGAATGTTTATTGCATCCCAATTCATAATTGCTATGTCATGGAAGAAGCCCAAGGGCCCATCGACTCATGAATGGATTAATAAATTGTGCTATATGTGTACCATGGAATATTATACAGCCTTAAGAAAGATGGAGACTTTACCTTTTTCATGTTTAATGGATGGAGTTGGAACATATTCTTCTTAGCAGAGAATCTCAAGAACGGAAGAAAAAGTATCCTATGCACTCAGCTCTACTATGAAACTAATTTACAATTTTCATATGAAAGCTATAACCCAATTATAGCCCAGGATTATGGGGAAAGGGGAGAAGGGAGGGGAGGGAAGGGGGAAGGATGGGTGGAGGGAAGGTGAATGTTGGGACCACACCTACGGTGCATCTTACAAGGGTACATGTGAAATTTACTAAATGTAGAATATAAATGTCTTAACACAATAACTAAGAGGGTGCCATGAAAGCTGTTAAACAGTTTGATGAAAATATTTCAGATTGTATATAAAACCAGCACATTGTACCCCATGATTGCATTAATGTACATAGCTATGATTTAATAATAAAAAAATAAATATTTTTTAAAAATTCAATACTTTTGGAAGAAAGTATGGAGAATCTTCAAAGAACTCAAACTAGACCTCCCGTTTGATGCTGCAATCACATTACTGGGCATCTTCCCAGAAGAAAAAAATCATCTTATCATAAGAACATTTGCACTAGACTGTTTATTGCAGCTCAATATACAATTGCCAAATTGTGGAAACAACCTAAATACCAACCAATCCAGGAATGGATTAATAAGCAGTGGTATGTGTATATCATGGAATACTATTCAGCCACTAAAAAGGATGGTGACTTTACACCTTTTGTATTAATTTGGATGGAGTTAAAATAAATTATTCTTAGTAAAGCATCATAGGAATGAAGAAGCAAGAATCCAATTACTCAATTCTGACTTGAGGACAATTAATGCTAGTACATGGTAGGGGGAGGGAAAATGGGGGAGTGGAGAGAGGGAAGGAGGAGGGGTGTATGGGGCCACAGTGTGTGACACACCTCTTGGGGACAGGAATCTCTTATTAGAGGAACTTTACCCAGCAAACACAAGCAGTGTAACCTGGTTCTTTGCACACTCAGTGATTCCCTCCCCCACAAAAAATATTATGTATGTTAGTGAATATGGGGCTGCACAGTCAGGGACTGTTTTATAGGGTCACATTTTTTTAAATATATAATCTAAATTTATGTTGAATTCAACTTTTTGATATTGCTTATGAATAATGCTTCCATAAAGAAACTATTTTTAGTATTTGAACTACTAAATATTTGACCATTTTTATATGAGTAACTTATATAATGCAAAAGCATTATAAAATTGTACAATGCATTACTTCTTGTTATTTTGGCTAAGATCAAAGGTAGTAGTATATCAGTGGTAGTTCTACTTATCAGTAGAATGCAAAAAGTTGAAGTGATTAATAACTATAGAAAATGAAAACATTTTTTCTTTGTCATAGTATTTACCTTAATGGGACCAATATAGGAAGATCCTTTTATTGTTGAAAGTATGACTTGAGATTCTTCTAACTGTGATAACATGTCATCTATAGATGAAATTATTAGGATAGAGCAAATCTCTGAGTGATGAAGAACTAAGTGTAAAGGAGTAGTGTTCCACAGATCAATAATCTTAAAAAGCATTTTTTCAAGAGCAGCTTCATTAGTTGCTGAGTTTGATATATCATTTATTTCATTTTCATACTGAAACATCTGAAACAAATAAATTATTTTTTAATCTTAAGTGGAAAAAATTAATTCCTTATACATTTAAAATGGAAAACTTAAACGCTTGTTTTAAAAGGCATATCAAAAGTATTGAAGATCTGATTCAAGTTAGGTTTACATCCTAATCAGTGATTTCATGGCCTAAACTTCATGACACAACCCTTTGCATTTTTAAATCATTGTATTTCACATTCTTCATGCTCAACGAAAATTCATAATTTACCTCTGATTCCAGTCAGAGTAAAGAATATGTACCCTCTGTATACATGCAGGTGGTGGTATTATTTCCTTCAGCTTTCTCCTGAACTAATTCAAACTGCCTGCTTAATTTTTGACATGTTTTTACTCTTTATAATAATTATTGGTGTATATTTATCTAAGAAAATGTACCTGTAATGGACCCAAATTTCCATGGTTTCCCTTTATTTGCTTCATCTCCTTAAGGATAAGTGTTATCTCAAAATACATGAGTAGAATATATGTATGTAACCCTTTTTTGCCATGTATACTGACTTTCAATTCTTATGGGACAAGATTCAGATATAAGATCTCCAGATTCACTCACTGTGATAGAGATACTCAGAGAGCTTCTTATGTCCACCTTTTAGAATTAATGAGCCAGGTTTATTATTTTTAATCCCTGTTTAGGAATAAGAATCTACTATTATTCCTATATGTCATTTCGACTGGGTTAAAGAATGATGCTTAATCCCTGTGTATTGATAAGCCAGCTCAGTGAGGACAATTAACAAATATGACTAGTTCTTATCATCTTTCTTATGGGCCTGCCAAACATGGATATAAGGATAGTAGGATAAGTTGACTGCCTGTGGCCTTCAATAAAAACTTTGAGAAGGTAGTCTAACTTTTTATATAGATTATTCAGCCAAAGGCAGGTAAGGAACATAGGACCATCAGTGTTCTATGCTGAAGAACTTTGTGCCTAATACTAACATTCTGAGATTGCCAAAAACTAAATCCAGAAGCTAATAATATGTAAATAATATGTAAAGCAAAGTTTCTGCCAGGTGAATTTAGCTAGCCCTGTCAAGTCCTTATAGTCAAAGCTTGGGGCCTGACAAACAATTTTCCAATTGACTTGGGTAATATCTGTGTGGTTTCAGATGAATATTAATGCCTATAATTTATTATTTACCTTTATTATAAAGCATATGGCATATGATGATTGAAAATGGTCAACCATAAAATGGCATACCATTCACTCTTTCCTATTAACTTACTTTATGATACGCTTTTCATGCGATAGGCTGTTCAGAGCCCGCACAATAGCATGGACTAAATGGCTATCATGACAATTTGTTAATCTGACAGGATCATAAATGCACTGCTAATATGCCTACCCTGGAAATCATGAGGCAAGTCTTAGTAAATAAAGGCTGAGTTTAAACCCTATCCATGTAAAATCTAAATACACATTATACTGGGTAAGTTGGCAGACTTCTACAGGATGAGGAAAACCATCCAGGAACTCTTTAGAGTTTTCTTGAGATTATCAACCGACTATCTCCTTATCCCCTCTATTGTTATAATTAACTTCAAGATGGAGAAGGTCTTGTTTTAATTCCTAACTATGGCAATTTTAAAGTATCCATTCATGTTAGAAATGTAACAATAGCTCACTAAAACTCTGAGGTATTACAGGCTACCATTCCCAAGTAGGCCACCAGCTGCTGCCCTATATCCTTACCTACTTTTGTTGCTTGCTGCTAGTGTTAGTCTGTCAAATTCTCACCTTATACACCTAACTTGCCCAGAAATGGTTACAATAATCCAAGAAAGAAAATGAAAATTATCATTGAAATTGTGCTGGATTTCAGCATGCTGATTTTAATAAACTCATCAGTTGATATTGGCCCTTATGTTCTGAAATTACCTAGCTCTCTTGTTGAATTCCATTTTGGAATATAGATAGATTAGGAAACTGTGATAATAATTCAGAAAAAATTGGGAGATAAGATACGATGAGCAAGAAAAGATACAATAATTATTTTATAATTTTTTTAGTGTAAGCAATTAGAAGAATGGAGCTGATGTTAATTGAGGTCAGGAAGACAAAGGAAGAGTAAAATTTGAGAGATGGAGAATGAAAAGTAATTTTTGACATTAATTTTCAGATACAGTTTAGACTTATTAAACAAGAAATTGAAAATGTGAGTTTGGGCTCAGTGCCTGTAGCTCAGCGGCTAGGGCACTGGCCAAACACATCCAGGTTGATGGGTTCGAGCCTGGCCCAGGCCTGCCAAACAACAATGGCAACTACAACAAGAAAATTGCCAGGCATTGTGGTGGGCACCTATTAGTCTGAGCTACTTGGGAGGCTGAGGCAAGAGAATGGCTTAGGCCAAGAATTTGAGATTGCTGTGAGCTATGATGCCATGGTACTCTACCTAGGGCAACATAGTGAGACTCTGTCTCAAAAAAAAAAACCCAACAGATAAAAGAAAAGAAAATGTGTTTGGAGCTAAGGAGGAAGGTTGAGATTAGGGCTGATGACATAAAATAATTTTTAAAAATCAATTAAAGTTTTCTTTCAAAATTCTTCTTTTTAAGCTCACTAAAAATTGTTCCCCATGTTCCTCATTATGAGATCATTTACCAAAGAATTATAGCTATAAAATGTTTTCAATTACATTAGATATTATCAAACAAGGAACATTAAACACACATGAAGTTTATTGTTAGACATGAAGTTAGACATGAAAAAGAAACTTTTTAACTATAAAATATTGTAAAAATTATATTTTATAATAAAACTTTCATGGCAAATCAAATAGCTGTCAGTTATGCATTTTATATGTAATGTTGAGTTATTGGTAGGACTATTCTAACCTGCTCTTAATATATTTTCATTTCACATTAAAAGAAATAGAGTAGTTTTCATTTTTCCATTCTTATGTATTCTCTATAAGAAGCAAAACTTTTCTTTTTGCAGTTTTTTTTGTTGGCTGGGGCTGGGTTTGAACCTGCCACCTCCAGCATATGGGACCGGAGTCCTACTCCTTGAGCCATAGGTGCCACCCCAAGAAGCAGAACTTTTCAATAATGAGACACTAATTTCATTTGTCACACATGAAAACCAATATTACTATTTTCTAATTACCTAGATAATGATTATATAATATGTGGATTATCTATTGTCTCCAATTAAACATAATTTCCTATAACCTATTATCTATTAATATATTCATATTTTTCTAGACATTTTAAAATCATCTCCCTTTCATAATTCTGATTCATTGTATATTTATTTGCCTACTTAAAATTCACTCCTCCAGTACTTCAATCTACTTTTTTCAAACTATTTATAATTACCTTGAGGATTCGAAGATTCTCTAGTGTACAATTTTTATCAACTGACTTTCCAACAATCTCCTGAAGAGCTTCCCAATGCCTTGGCTTGAGACAGGGGTTGCCCAGAGCTATCATGATAGGCAGTTCTTGCTTAAACTGTGTCACTGATTGCTGAAGATGTGTTACCATATCATTGCTAGGTAAACCTATAAATAAAAATGGGTCAGTGGGCTCACAACATGTTTATTATATTTTTAACCAGAAAAAAATTGAGAAAATAAGAATTTTTCTTTAAAATGTGGTACCAACCAATATAATACTAGTTATTCAGTTATTAGTCTGCATTAAACTAATACAAAATAATGAGCTTTATTAACATCTCTCCCCCATAAGAATCAACTATAGATTAAAACAAAGAGAAATATTTATCAGTACTGGTACGGACAGCCATGTTATCTTGGAAAATTTGATACCAGTGATGGTCAGCTACCACAGGGTTTCCCTGGTTTTCACCAACAAGCTAGAAATACAAGATAGATGGGTGTATGCACATGTGCACACATTAAGAAGACTGCCACATATGTTAGGCTTTTAAATTTTCCTAAGTAAGGAAGAACATCAAAGGAAAAATTACCATCACTATCATTTCATAAAAACAATATTTTAACATCAAATGTAGGTGACAAATTTGCCATACACTAGCATTGGTTTGTCCTCTGGCATTGAGAAACCACTGATGCACAGGTCTCAAAACTTATGAAGTTGCAACCCCTATCTTTTCGCTCAACATAGAAAAGGGGATATAACACAGAAATAGCCAAAGTTAGGGACTCAGAATCGAAAACTACACTCATACTCTCAAAAAACCCACTTATATAGGTAGAGCTTCTTTTAAAAAGCCATAATGAACAGTAAAATGTTTTCCAAATATTTGGTTAAACAGAAGGTGAAGGGGATAACTTTAAGTTTTTGCCAATCTAGACTTTGGCAAGCAGCAAGATTTTGTCTAGGAAACTATTTCTAAAATAAAGTGTTGTATACTTTTTATTTTTATACTATTGTTTTGTGAAGCAAAATATTGAAGAGGTCATTTGCATAATGAGTGGTTATGTTAAAGCACTGAGATTACGATTTGCCCCCTGTTTTTCTTCTTTCTAAATGTTTTGATATAGTTATATTTCTTGTATGATTTAAAAACAAGCAAATTAAAGTGTTTTTCTGGCTTTTCTGTAGAATAAATTTTGACTTGAGGTCTAACTAAATCTTTGTGAAGATATTCTCTTGGCCAGGTGAACAAGATTTTCCTTTTGGAAATGATATGATCTTGCAAAATACTCTCATAGGAATAGTATCTCTGCATTTGCAAAATTTCAAATTTAATGATTAGCATAAAGAACTCTTTCAAAATGGCTTTTTAGCTGTTTCTTTCACTGCCCAAAAGGATATTAGAGGTGTACAGAGTATTTGGGTATTCTGACCAGTACCTTAAGAATAGCCAGAATCAGAGTGAAGTGTCCAGGGTTCTACTCAGAAAACCGACTTTTAAAGAAAATAAAAACTGTTATTAATAACTTAATAATTTTTCTCAGTTTAATCTCTTTCTTGCTTCAGCAAACAATACCTACCTACCTCCTAAATTGTTACTCCAGTCCACGGAACAAATTAAGAAACAAAACCAAGACTAATGATGTTGCCTTGCCGAGCCATTTTTTGTGTTATTCTAGATGGGATAACTTGAGAAATATATTTTTACCTTTTTCTAGCATAACAATTATCTGTGTCCATTTTGAAACATTTCGCTGTACCAACTCTGTATCAATATTTTGAAGAGAACAATTTCTCCATTCCCAAAAGAATGCTCCCCACTCCCCTTGTGCTTCCCATAATAATTTTCTCAAAGTTAAGTCGTATTCAATGTCAGTGATCTCTGAAAGCACTGTCTGTGTAATATCATCCACATTAAGAGAATGCATATGAGATTGGTAATCATCAAAACAATTCTGATAACTGGAACATGCTTTAGCTCTGTTAGCTAAACTTGCAGCTTCCTCTAAAAGAGTCTGGATCATTTCCATTGCTGTTGACACTCGAGTACCAATGTATAAAAGAATAGGAGTTCTCATCTAAAAAAATAACAGTAAGACATTCTGTAAGACCAAAACATTTAGAACTTAGACATGCATTACTGACAGGTAAAGCATTTTAGTATATAATATAAGCTTTAACATGCTCAGTGGGTTAAAGCTGCCACTATCATTACCATTTGGCCCAGCCAAAGGCCCAAAGATTTCAGGGTTTTTTGTTTGTTTTGTTTTGGTTTTTAGCTGTTTTTGTGCCATGAGGCCCCTTGGCAGTCTGTTGAAGCCTATGGTAAAAGTCACTAGCTCTGCTGTTGTTTGTTGCCTATTTTCATTTATAGTCAGAGAAAATACTATATTCCAGTTAGAGGCTAGTGAAAATAACAATGTAATTTTATTTATCATTGCAGGTCACAAATCACCAAAATTCTGTCAGTAAATCCCATGTTAACAATACGTGGATTATTTTATTATAATTATATTGTAATAATATATTATAATATAATATTATATTATTTATCCAAGATTGCATAAAAAGCAAATAATAAAATGCTTACACCTACATGAGACTAAGATAAAACAGTGGGACCACACCTATGAAGCATATTGCAAGGGTACAAGTCAAATCTATCAAGTATAGAACACAAATATCTTAACACAGTGATTAAGTAAAGGAGGTGAAAGCTATGATAATTAGTTGGATGTAACCACCCCAATTTGTGCAAAAAAAATCAACACATAGAATCCCACACAGGCATAAATGTATTTATGATCTGTGTAGTATATGTAACTTAATAAAAGGAAAAAAAAAAGACTTACTTTGGCCTTTAAATTACTAACATCAGCTCGTAGACCAGTCAGATATGATTCTAAATTATCTCTGAATTTACTTATAGTGGCATCTTTGTTTGTTTCTCTTAACTTCATAGATGTTTTTAGTTGACCAAACTTGATAAGAAGGATTCTATATACGGCAATTTGCTCTTCCGGAATATAGACCTGGTAATTCCTTACGACAGAATATAACTGAGCAATTATTAAATACTTGTGTTCTATTGTAGATATTTTTGAGGAAATTTCATCCAAAAAAGAAAAATGTTTCACAAATTCTTCTATTTCAGTGGGATCACATTCCAGCTGTCTCAATGATGAATCTACAAGCTGAAATCATTAACATGTCAATTATAGTTATGTAATGACTTTCCACTATTTTAGAAAACTAAATACTCTTTTTAATTTCTCTGAGTATAATTTCATAAAAAATGAAAGCATCTTCTAAACATGATTCTAAGTATTATTTAAATATTGGGGTATCAGAAGGAGAAAATCCTTCTATTGTTAATAAAAGGCACTTGAATGTATCTCACATAAAAAATAAATGTTACTGTGACATAAAGAAGTGTTATAATGAATAATGGCTTTAAAAAATGAATGCAATATAAGTAACAAAAAATATGACTGAAAAGTGAGCAGTGCATAATAGTTGCTACCACTTTGGGGGCATTTATGTACTATGTTCTTTAGGTACATTGTCTCACTTTATTCAGATTATATGTTTGCTAATTAGATATTTTTTCCCCTAGTTTGCAGAGGTTGAAACTGAGTCTCAGAGGGATTCATTGAGTTATAGAACTATGATTCAAACCTAAATCTGACTCCAAATTCCATTCTGTCCCACCCTCCTACTTATATCCATTATGAACGTATTAATAATGGCCATAATTTTTATAAGTAAATGTATATAATTCCATAAAATTTATGAAGTAATTGAATTTCTAATACTGAGATTATGTTTTTCATATTTTTTCTTATTTTTGAAAGCATACCAATAGAGAAAAGCACTTAATCACTTCAGTCAAATTGATTAAGGTATATTACTGACCAAAGTATATTACTTAAACATTAATTTTTAATTCAACATGTTAATATGTTGTTTATCATATTGCATCTGCATTTATAAGTGAAATATGTTTGCAATTTCCCCTTTATAGTAATATATTTTCTCTAATGTTAATATCAGTTGTATCCAGATTAAGTAGAATGATTTTAAAGTATTTCTTTTTCTATTGTCTATAAGATTTGGCATGATCTGTTTTTTTGAAATTAACTTTTACTTTTATTTATAAATATTAGTTGTCTTTTTTTAAGACTTTGGAAAAAACAAAATAATAAGAAGTTAACTGATCAAAGTATTCTATAATAGACATACTCCAATCTGACAATGTGAATGTTACTTTCTTTGCATTATTACTACTATTATTGCTTAATATTTTGTTGCAGCAATTGTTTGATTTCTATTCTGAATGTATTTATCTTCATTCATTCTTTATGAGGTTTTTGTTCTCAGTCCTTATGTTAAACATTGTTATTGTCATTAAATTAAGCCTTTTTAATTCTGTGAAGGCAAAAGTGGAAACCTAATATACACATGTATAAGTAAGAAAAATAAATTTAAAAATGAAGAAGAAGGAAAAGGAAGGGAAGAAAAGGAAAGTAGGTATGTTTTTTAGTCTTTAACATAGTATGTAACAATGGATAATAACTATAAATGGTAAAGCTTGCATTCTTACAGACCAAAAAAGAAAGAAAAGCACTTAATCATAAAGAAAGTAAAACAGGAAGAAAGAACAAAGCATAATGCAAAATAACCAGAAAACAAACAAAAAATGACAGTCATAAATCCTTATCTATTAATAATTGTGTCAAATGTAAATAGCTTAAATTCTCCAAACAAAAGGCACAGAGTGTCTGAATAGATAAAAATCAAACCCATCTATACACTCTTTCTGAAAGATTCAAACTTTAAGGATTTATATAGCCTGACAGTGAGTGGATGTAAAATAATATTCCATGAAAATGGAATGTATGAAAGAGTAGAAGGAGATATATTTATATTAGATACAACAGATTTTAAGGCAAAAACTGTAAAAAAAAACAAATGATAAGAGAGTCAGTTCAGTGTGAAGATATGATAGATGAAAATATATGTGCTTTAAGATTAGAGGACTAAATGTAAAACACAAAATAGGTTTGAATGTAGAGATAGACTAAAACACAATAATGATAAGCAGCTTCAACCTCCTACTTTCAGCAATGGACATATTATTCAGACAGAAAGCTGATAAAGAACATTTATCAGACTTAAAAGTCACTCTGCTAAATGAACCTAACAAACATATACAGAACATTCTATCCAATGAAGTAGGATACAGCTGTGTGTCATGGAAGAGACTTGCCAATATGGTCCCTCAGGAGGGCAAAGCTAGAGATGGCCTAGCCCAGAGTTTCAAGGACTCTATGAGCCAGGCGAATGTTGTAGCACCTCAGCTCAGTCCTCAGAACAAGGCTCAGGCTCAGAAATAAGATACAGAACAAAAAAAGTGTTATCTTGGTTGTCATTTGGGAGATTAATGAAGGAAAGATGAGAAAAGTAAAAAACATATCACCACAAAATAAACAGAGACAGAAGAAAAAAGAAGGAAAACTGTAACAAAAATGGAAATCTTAATATTAAAAAAAACTTAAAAATTATATTAAAATATATATAATACAATATATTGTCTGGATACTAAGTGGCACTCTGGGGCTAGAAAGGGTGGTGGGGGTGGGAGAAGCAGGCTTCTGCTGCTACTGTATGTTGTGGGGGCAGGAAGGATGTTACTAGCTAGTTGCTATGGAGATCTGGCTTTGTTTTCTTGATTTATTTGATAATAATCTGGACGGGATTGTTGGGCCAGCATTCAATCCCTGTATGCTTGGGAGTCTGAAGCTTACCCCAGACTTTATGGGAGACACTCCTTGACCCTCCAAACTGTTCCCTGAAGCCACAAAGGCATCTGTGCAGTTGGTGGGTGTCTCTGTAGGAGTCAGCCCAAGGGTGTCTGTGGTGCCCAGCAGTGGAGTGCTCACTCATGTGTTGGGACCCTGGCTCTTCCACCCCTGAGGTTCTCTCATAACGGTGGCACCCATCTTCCAGCCTTCTGCCAAACAGTTTCCAGTTCAAACCCACCTTCCCTGTGCCATACAATTTTGCCCATGGGCTCAGGCCTACCTAACATGGTTTCAGGAGCTCCCAAGTTCAAAAAGCTATAGAATGCCTTCTGTGTGTCCAGTTGTTTGCCAAAGGGCTGGTTTCTGCACACACACACCAGAGACCAGTGGCATCTCAGTTCCTGCTCCTTTCTCTGCACTTACTTTGCCTAGTGGGATAGCCCTTCCCAGAGTTCAGTCTGGTCCCCAGTCCACCACAATAGGGGATACCGTTTTGGGTAGGGGACACTCTACTGTTGGCTTGATCCCTCCAGGATTGTATGTGTAGGCTTTGTCTGTGGGTTACTGGACACCCTTACACCAGCTTTCTATGTAGATATTCCTCCACTTCTGACCTCTTTGGATCCTGGAGTCACTTGCTGTCTCACTGTGCCCTCACAATGATGTTTCTGAATGAGAAAATCCAGTAAGAAGTGGCTTGAGTCCCCTGGCCCTGATCTTATTGAAAGCAGCTGGTGAGATGTCCCTAGTCTGCCATCTTGGAGTTGCCTCTTTTTAAGAGTCTTAACACATTTATACATCTATATTCAAACCATATTCATAAACAAAATATAGATAACTTCTATTGTCCCCAAAAGATTCCTTGGATCTCATTCCAAACAATCTCCTCCCATCTCTGGGCTGAGAGAACCATGTGTCTGGTTATTGGTACTATAAATTAAGTTTATCTTTTTCAAATTTCATATATATGGAATCATATAGTAGATATTCCTTTGTTTCTGTCTCCTATTCCTCAATAGGATCTTTTAAGGTTCATCCAAGTTGTTGCATGTGGCAATTCATTCCTTTTTGATGGTTATGATGGCTATATAGTATTAAAATAAATATCACATTTTTCTTATCTATTCACCTATTAATAGACACTTGGATTGTTTCCAAGTTTCAGCAAAATGTCTTATGACTAATTTGGGTGCAAGTCTGTGTGTGGATTTGTTTTCATTTCTCATGGGTAAATAATGTAGCACGGGACTGTGGTATCAAATAGTAAGTGAATATTTAACTTTAAATGATTGCCATTTTTTCTGAAGTGACTATACCATTTTGAATTCTAACCTGTATTGTATGAAAATTTTCATTCCTCCAAATATTTCGTATTGTCAGTCTTTTTAACTATAGCTATTCCAATGGATGTGTAGTGGGTTGTCATAGATTTAATGCTCATTACTCTTAAGAGTATGATGTTTAGCATGTATTGTATCTTTATGCCATTTCCTTTTGTGAAGCATGGTCAAATATCTTGCCCACATTTTATTAGGTCATTTGTCTTACTTTGGTTTTTGTTGTTGTTGCTGAGACAGGGTCTCACCTTGTGCCCTGAGCAAAGTGCAGTGGTGTCATCATAGCTCACTGCAACCTCAGACTCCAGGGCTGCATGCAGGCGTCCTGCTGCCTCAGCCTCCCACAGTGTTAGGTTTACAGGTGTGAGCCACCACATCCAGCTTTCTTACTATTTTTGTTGGTGCTTTGATTTGTAAGAGTTCTTTATAGATCCTGGATATAGGTCCTTTGTAAGATACACATATTCCAGTATTTTCTCTCTTTAAAGATGTGATTACATTGTTTTCTTGATTACATAATTTCTCTCTAGAAGTCTACTGTATTTCTTGTTTTGTTTCTTATTGACATTGTTTCTTGTTTTGCTTCTTTCTGCTTTTAAGATTTTCTGTAGTTTCACTGGTTTGCAGTAATTTGCTTATGTTTTTGGTGCTGCTTTATTTGTGGTTTCATTGAACTTGTAAAACTCATTTGTTTAATTTTTACCAAATTTGGAATTATTTTACTATTTTCATATATCTTTTCTGTCCATCCCTCTCTCATCTCTTTATGGAACTTAGTGAGATATATGAGAGATCATTTGGTATATCCTATAAGTACCTGAGGCTTTGCTTTGTTTTTGTTTGGCCATTTTCCCTCTCTGTGCTTCTTTTGTTATAGATGCTGTTGCTGTTTCTTTAAGTTCGTATCTTTTTCTACAGTATCTAATCTGATATTAATCTCATCAGGTAAAATTTTCATTTAAGATACAGGTGATGTTCCATATCTTTGGATTTTACATTTTTGGATTCAACCAAAGATGGAATGAAAATCTTTTAAAAATATATAAAAATAAAAAAATAACTGGTTACATAGCATTTACATTGTATTAGGTGTCATAAATAATCCAGAGGTGACATAAGATACACAAGAGTCCCTATCAAGAATTTTTTTTGAGGAAGTAATATTTGATCAAAGACATAAGCAAATACATTATACAATGGAATTTTATGAGGATACTATTAATCATGTATATTTTCTAAGTACATTTAAAAAATTATAATTTACTATATCTGAAACATTCTTATGCAATAGGAATGTTTGAAATACTTACTTCCAGTAGATTTTCACTCCTTTTTTCAATTAGAGATCGTAAGAGTGTGTGGCTCATATGTATGATGTTCTCAACATATGGTAAGCATCTTGACTGATAATCAAGACTAAGAACGCTGAAAATACCAATGCGCTTTTCAATGGCCATACTTATAATATGTCTAAAATAGTTTCTGAATCTACTTAGTATAGTTTCAAACTCCATTGAAGTTAATTCTCCCATAGATAATATTTTCATACTCATGATTTTGGCTTTTTCTACCATGGTACAATACTTTCTAAACTTCCAGCTGTAAACATTAACTAGGCCCATTGAATTACCAATAATAGTCAGGAGACTCACAATCTGTAAAGAAAAGTATTAGAAAAGTTAATCACAATTTTTCTTAAGAGTGAAAAAAGTATGGTTTGATATGCTAATAGTTTCTTACGTGAGGTTTATTTATTAAGAACCTCTATTAAATATCTAAATATTTTGGGAACATAAGATTTTAAGAAGTTTAGATGGATTTTGAATATTTTACTTTTATGTAAGGGCTTACTAGGCTATTTGACTTTATAATTAGCATGTCCTTTATGAGCTGCTATACTGGAGACATCAATCATTTATTTCCTTGCTTAACATACTGTTTTTGTTTTTGTTTTTGTTTTTTTTTGTAGAGACAGATTCTCACTTTATCACACTCGATAGAGTGCCATGGCATCACACAGCTCACAGCAACCTCCATCTCCTGGGCTTAGGGATTCTCTTGCTTCTGCCTCCCAAGTAGCTGGGACTACAGGCACCCACCACAATGCCCAGCTATTTTTTTGTTGCAGTTTGGTTAGGGCTGGGTTTGAACCCACCACCTTTGGTATATGGGGTCAGCGCCCTACCCACTGAGCTACAGGTGCCACTCAACACTCTGTTTTAAAGTCTATATTCTATGCATTACCCTAGAAAGGGTCAGCCTCCTATCTGACTTCACCCAATTCACCCAAGACATAGCTAATATGGATTGAGTAGAATCTTGACCAAAGCTAAGCCATCTAGGTTCTTTTGTAAATTTGGACAAAAATACCAAGTTAGATGGTAATGGGAAGAGGTGGAACATGAAAGCCAATATCATGAAAGAGCCATAAAAGAGAAAGTACATTTTTATAGAAGTTGGAGAAAACACACAGAGGTGAGCAAAGATGAGAGATCATATGAAAGACAAATGGGGAGATAAGCTGGAAATGATTTTCCAATTGCTATTCACTAGGATACTCTAATTTTCAATAAACTCCTTTATTTAAGAATTTGAATGGGTTTCTGCTCCTTAAACCAAGCATTCACTTCAATGAATTGTTTTTAAGCTTACTTTATTTTGGTAGGCAGGATCCATTTCAAAAAGGATTTCACAATCTGGCCATCTGTTCTGCCTCTTATATTTTACAATATTTTCCATCTTACTAGGTAAATCCAGAATTGAAGAGAAATCAATAAACACAGACAGGTGAGGATCTTGGCAAAGAGGTGTAATTGTGGCTAAAATACATAATTCAAAAATTAATACTTTCAGAAGTCTCACTGAAAGCAACACTTTAAAATTATCTTTGACATCTGGAACAATTGAAAACTAAGGCTCGTGTACTATGACAGACTGCATTCTATACTGATAGATGGAATTTAGAGGTAGCTGTTAAGGTTTAGATTTAATATTATAGAAACAAAATACTCATAGATAACTGGGAGAAGGTGAGAGTTATGATTTAAATAGAAAATGAGAATAAAATATTCAGCAAACAGATATTTGAACTGAATCTGCTATGCAGAGATTATTACTGTATCATGAGGATACAAAGATTAGGAGACACAGCCTCCTCTGCTCTCAAGGAGTTCTTAGTCTAACTGGACAGTTGGATGTCTATAGGCAAATAATAATAATGATAATGATAACTTTGACCTACACTTCACTTCTTATACAAAAATCAACTTAAGATCAATCAAATACCTAAACATCAACAGAAATCTGTAAATCTTCTATAAGAAAACACATGTGATCTTGCTTTAGATAGAGTGTTTAGATACAAACCAAAAGCATAATCTATAAAAGAAAAGACTATTAAGCTATACATTACCAAAATTAAGTAGTCTAGTTTAGTTTAATTAAGGAGAATAAAAAGATAAGATACATATTTGAATAAAACATTTGTAAGTTATATATATGATATAGGACTTTGTATCTAGAGTACATGTAAAGACCTCTCATAACCCAACAATATGTAAAATATCTCCAGTTAAAAAATATAGGCAAAATCTTTAAAGAATCATTTGAGGAAAAAAGATATGCAGATACAAAATTAGAATAAGATGAACAGTACCGTTAGTTACTAATAAAATGCAAATTACCATGAGATATCACTACAATGTATTAGATGTACTATAATGACTAAAATTTTTTTAGAAATCTGACAATACCAAGTGGTAATCAGGATATAGAGCGATTAGAACTCTTACACATTGTTAGTAGAAATGCAGAGTGATATAATCACTTTGTAGAACAGTCTGGTAATTTTCATAAAGCTGAAACATATACCTCCCATATTACTTGGCAATCTCACCTTTAGATATATACCCAAGAAAAAGGAAAACTTACATTCATACAAAAACCTATATGTGAATGTTTATAGCAGTTTTATTCAATTTTATTCATAACTTACCAAACTGGAAACAACTCAGACGTGAATGAGTAAGCAATCTGTGGTATATACAGACAACAGAATAGCTCAGCAATAAAAAGGAACAGACTATTGATTCATGCAAAAACATGGATGAATTCTAAATGAATTTTTCTAAGTCAAAGAAAGCACACCCAACAGGCCGCATTTCCATTTACATGACATTCTGGGAAAAGTATAACAACAGGGAGAGAAATCAGATAAGTGGTTGCCAGGGATAAAGGGTTGGTACTACAAAGTGTCCATAGAAGGGAATCTGAGGATGATGGAACTGTTTTGTATGCAATGGTGTGTAAGGAAGTGTGTGTTTGTCAAAACCCACAATACTGTACTTACAAAGAATGAATTTTAATCATGTGTAAATTTTAAAAAGTCAACCAAGATTTTGGGAGAACCCAAGATGAAATGCAGACTATGACAAATTAATCTAACTGTATTACAAATGAACTACATAACATCATTGAAGAGGGTGGGAAAGAAAAAAAAGTTGACTTAAGTAATTTTAGGTAATAGTGTTTGGACTGGAAACAATAAGGTAGATTAAAAACAAACAAAAAACCCTCAAAAAACTGTACACAAACATTGTACTTTAGTTGACACATTTTTTTTCCCAGAGGTTATGATGCAGTAATATGGAGATTACTGTTCAAGTATAGCCAAACGTGGACAGGGATTCATTCTGAAACATGCCATTTTCAGGTAATTTCTTTGTTGTGTGAACATCATGAAGTGTACTTACATAAACCTAGATAATCTGAATACTATAAGAAATTCTATGCCCAGAAATTTGACAGTGTGAAGGAAACATATCAAAGCTTGGAATCACAAAGAAGCAATAAAAAAAATCTCCCAACAAAAAAATGCCCTGGATCAGATGGCTTCACACCAGAATTCTATCAAACATCAAAGAAGAGCTTATTGCAGAACTTACTCCAACATTATTCAAAAAAATTGAGAAGGAAGCAATCATCCCCAACACATTTTACAAAGCAAGCATCACCTAACACCAAAACCTCACATTTTCATAAGAATGATAAAACATAACTATTAGCCCAGAAGGAAGGAGGAAAGAGGAGAGTGGCCAGGTGGAGGGAGGGTAATCAGTGGGACCTCACCTACTGTGTATATTGCAAGGGTCAAATTTATTAAGAGTAGAGTATAAATGTCTTAACACAACAATTAAATAAGTGAGTTGGAGGTTATGTTAACCAGTTTGATGTAAGCATTCCAAATTGTATATAAAATCAGCACCTTGTACCCCATAAATGCAGTAATGTATACAGTTATGATTTAATTAAAAAATTGCATAGAACAAAAAGAAAAGAAACACACTTGATTAAGGGAATGTCTTACAATACCCATGGGGTGGGGTGATCAGATAAAAAACAAAACAAAACAAAACATAAAAAACAGGAAAAGACCCCATTAAAAAGGAGAAATACAGATCAATATCACTAACGAATATAGATGCAAAAATACTCAATAAAATCTTAGTCAATACATTACAACTACACATTAAAAAATTTATACATCATGATCAAATAGGCTTCATCCCAGGGATTCAAGGCTGGTTTAACACTTGCATATGTCAAATGTAATTCACCATAAAAATAGAAGCAAAAACAAAGACCACATGATCTCAATACATGCAGAAAAAGCATTTGATAAAATTCAGCATCCTTTTCTAACTAAAACACTTAAGAATATAGGCATAGGTGCCACATTTCTTTTTTTACCCTTTTTTTATTAGATCATAACTGTGTACATTACTGCATTTATGAGGAAATGTGCTGATTTTATATACAATTTGGAATATTTACATCAAACTGGTTAACATAACATTCACCTCACTTATTTAATTGTTGTGTTTAGACATTTATACTGCCATCCATGGCAAACCCATAGCTAATATTATACTAAATGGAGTAAAACTGAAACCATTTCCACTTAGAATTGGAACCAGACAAGGATGTCTCGTGTCACTACTACAACTCAACACAGTTCTGGAAATTCTAGCTAATGCAGTCAGGCAAGAGAAGGATACAAATGGCATCTACATGGGGGGGGGGCAAGGAGGAAGGAGGTTAGACACACTCTTTGCTGATGACATGATCTTATATTTAGAGAACCCCAAAGACTCAACCACAAGACTCCTGGAAGTAATCAAGAAGTACACTAACATCTCAGGGTATAAAATCAATGCCAACAAATCAGTAGCCTTTGTATTTGCCAAAAACAGCCAGGTTGAGAAGGTAATCAAAGACTCAATTCCCTTCATGGTAGCTTCAAAGAAAATGAAATACCTAGGAATATACCTAATAAAAGAGGTGAAGGACCTATACAAAGACAATTATGAAACCCTGAGAAAAGAAACAGCAGAAAACATTAACAAATGGAAGAGCATACAATGCTCATGGCTAGGAAGAATCAACATTTTAAGATGTCCATACTTTCCAAAACAATCTACAAATTCAATGCAATCCCTATTCAAAGACCAACAGCATACTTTGAAGAACTGGAAAAAACAGTTCTTTGTTTAATATGGAACCAAAAAAACCCCATATAGCCAAGGCAATTCTTAGTAATAAAAACAAAGCTACAGACATCACCATACCAGACTTGAGGCTACATTACAAGTCCATAGTGATCAAAGTAGCATAGTATTAGCATGAATAGAGAGACAGACATCTGGAGCCAGAAAAAAAAAGTATGTAATGTTCCAAAATATTAGTATTTCTGGATCTTACTGAGCAATAAACTTCAACCTGAATAAGTCAAAATGGAGTGGGGAAAGAATTATACAACCTTTGTGGTGTTTCTTAATTTAAAAACAAACACTTTTTTTGCATGTTTCACCTTAATAGTACAATGCAAACTTTAAAATAAATATGACATTTGAAGAGACTTACCGATTCTATTTCAGCCAGTTTTGGGGAAAGAAGAAACACAATAGGAGGTAGTAGTTGCAAAGCATAGTGAAAAATATTGAATTCTTAGGGTTATAAAAAATAAATCAAATAATGTATTAGATACCCTTAGGTTTGAAAGAGGGAACTTTAAACTCAGCAAACTATGATGATATGACTGGAGAACAATGACACATTTATGGAGCTGCCAAGTGTTTTAAGATCTTTGTAAAACTTATTGTGAGAAAAGTATAAATTCTTTGCTTGACTGTAATTTCAGATTATGTATGTACACATAGCAGGAAAATAGTCATTTAAAATCTACTTAAGGTGGAAATTATATCTTCATTATATTATGACATAAAAGATATTGTTCATTTGTTTTAGGTGTCATAAAACTATATAGCGCATCAACTGAAAAAAAATCCAAGCTTTAGGCTATTTTTCTAATTTTCATCTTTTATGCACTCTAAGGCTATATATATAATTCATACATCCTCAAATAATTTCAAATTCTCATTATTTGAAGCCAAGGACTATGAATTTATGATCTACTAATATTTCATAATGCTTGCTACATCCCTGGAAAAAAGCATCAGATGCCTAAATTTAAGAAAATATTGCCAAAGAAGATAATGCATCCCCGTAAGCTTTTGAAATACTTACTTATACATTTTTCAATATTAGTCACCATATTTTGAATTTTTATTGAAAACTCCAATCTGTTGGGATCTATAAAGAGATTTGTAGGGAATTCTAAAAATCTAGGAGAGAAAACAATAGAAGCATATTTCACAAGAATACAGTAACTAACACATATAATTATAATTGTTATAATGTCTAATACTTACTCATCTTTCATATCTTTGCTCTCAAACTCAGTTGCAATTTCTGTGTCTATCAGAATTCAATGAAAGAAAAAGAGAATAAAATTGATTTATATTTACAACAAATAAATAATTAGTTGATAGATATCAGTGCTTTCCAAATATCATAATAACCTAAAGAGTTCATGTAAAGGGCAGTATTGAAGGAGCATAACCCAACTATAGACTCTGATTAAAGACAGCTGAAAACTAACATCCCAGGTCTTATTTATTTTGATGAAGTGGTGTTCATGCCCTTTCAGTAAGAAACTGTAATGTATATGTATTCAGATGAAAATGAATAATGGTGTTACACAAATTACAAACGATGTGTAAATTCATACTCTCTATAGCACTGTTTATCTTAAAGTTTATAAAACTCACAATCTATAAATTGATAATATGTGAACTATTAAAATTTTCCCCTCATTTGTATTTTCCAGCTCTTATTTCCCCATAATTTTTAATAGTCTCATTTGTCTTACCTGAAAGAATATATTCAAGTTTATGACTTAATTTTTGTGGTTTTTTGCCTCTGGGGAGAAATTCTTCCTTTGAATTATTTTGGGCACTACTGTCTTCATTTTTTGACATTTCATCTTTTTTAGACATTACAAATTTTTCAGGGCACTGGTCAGACTCATGAAAGTTCTCTTCAAAATTTTCTGGAGAATCATTCTCAGGAATTCTCAAGCATAGATTTATTTTAAATATTGGTGCAGATATTTTTCTCAAATCCTTTTCCACTTTAATTTCACTCAAAACCTAATTTAATAGATATGTTAGGGTGCCAGTGACAATATATAGCATGACATTTAATTTAGGATAATAACAACAAAAATCTTCAATGATAAATCATAGCTTATTTTAACATTGTATTATGATAAACCTGATGCTTGCATGTTAAAATAAGTAAATTAAATGTGAAATGACACATCATAATGAAGGAATTTCCCCCCAAAATCTGTGTAAATTGACATCAGTATGAATACATATTAATCACTTAGAGAATATTAAAAATACGAATTCTTAGGCCTTATACCCAGAGATTTTGAATTAAAAACCAGAGGCATCACTCGTAATCTTTCAAGGTTAAACAGGTTATTCTACTGCATGCCCAGGTTTAAGAACTACAAGTCAAAAATAAACTTTAAATCCATGACTATAGACCTAGTTCTTCATTTTAAAATATTTATACTAGTATAGTTATTCCCACAAGAAAAAAAAAAACCCAAGGTATAAATATCTTATTTACAAAATGTTGTAAATTGTTCTTAGGCTTTGTCTAGGCTTGAGTTTTCAATGTATTGATCCTTCATATCCCATAATCTGTTAGCTCTAGGCATCTATTGTATAATTACTGCTAAGTGTTTCTCAGTGTGATGATAGAACTCCAACCTCTAGTTCTAGTCATTTAACAAATAAAGGCAGTTAATTGTATAAATAAACTCCATTAGCAGCCCATGAAGCTGCTGGGAAAAAAGTGTGGGTGGATACTGAAGGTGGTACATAAGTCTTAAAAATTCACACAAACAGATACAAGTTTCAGTCTGGGATGATGAAAAATCTGTAGAAATGGAAAGTGGTGATGGTTGCATACCCTGTGAATGTACTTAATGCCACAGAATTATACAATTAAAAATTATTAAAATGGTAAATTTTATGTTTGCATGTTTTATCACAGTAAAAGAAAGTTCACACAGTTTCTTACAAATATATAGTATAACTGATTAGCTGTTTCTGAAAAATAATCTGTAATTGACTTTGTAAATGACTGGCCCTCAAGTCATATGGACTTTCTAATACAGTATCCAGTCACTCTGAAAATATAATTATAGTTACTATTTGATGTGTGCTTATCACATCGTAGGCACTACAGTTAAACAAGTTACCTTCCCCTCATCCTCATAACAACCCTAGGAAATAGAAATTGTTACTCACATTGTGTAACCAGTGTCAAGTGCCTTGTTTTGAAATTTTTCTATCAAGTTCTTATTATGAAATCATGACCTTTACCCTCCTTCTTTCCATCAGATACTCTGTTGCATAAGTTTGCCCTAACTATGTGCTTGTTCAGAAACTCAGTTTAGAGATTGAGTCTTGAAACAATTCAGATCCCCAGGGGATGATAGGGCCACCATTAATCTATAAATAAATGGCCTCTAGATGGTCCCGCAGTAGATTCATCTTGCGGAGCAACAATTCAAGAATAGTTATCAGGGCGAGTCAGTTGGAAGTTTGTGACTCCAAAGTCTATCATTATAGTATGAACCGGGGCTTAAAAATCTTTTCTTAGTAAAGAAATAATTTGGCAGTTTGCTTCTGTGCCAACAAGAATGAACGAGTAAATAGTCTGATTTCCTCTAGATTAAAAACTGCAAGAGAGAAATAGCCACGTCTAAGTCAAACTATAAATTCTGCAGCCTACAATGAGGGGTGGAGGAATGAGTAGGCAGCACCAATGACTACCAAATCTATGACTTTACTTCTTATTTCTCTCTTTTGAGACACAGATCTGTGAGTTCTGACCATTAAGTTCACAAACTCGTCATTAAAAAAGTGCTACACACCTCATTATAATCACTATGATCACCTTTGAAGTACTTCTCTTGGGAAACTATGCACTCATGCCAGCATCCAGTCTACCCTTCAAAAAAATTTTTGGAACTCTTTTTCTGGATATCAGAATTTCTACTATCTTACCCTTGATGTCCTGAATACCATTAAATGTCTGCCTTTTAATATTTCCTTTATCTTTAGGTAAAGAAAAAAAGTTACTGGGGCTAGAACAGGTGAGTAGGGAGGGTGTTCCAATAAAGCTACTTGTTTATTGTTGAAAAATTCCATCACAGACAGTGATATGTGAGCTAGAGCATTGTCTTGATGCAAAAGCCATACCTTTTTCATGCCAAGATTTTCCTGTTTCTCTATCGATGTTTACTTGGTTTGCTATGCTTTTCAGTTAGCTGATGATTCTCATGCACAATTCAACACACTTTTGGCAATATTTTCATCATTTTTGCTCATTACTGGCCACCCTGACCTCTCTTCATTGGTCACACTTTTTCTCCCCTCAGAAAAATATTTAATCCATTTGTACACCACTGTTTTCTTCATGACATTATTCCCATAAACTTGGACTAACATGTCTCTAATTTCACTTCCACTCAGCAAGACACTGTCACATGTTGATACAAACATAGTTGCAAGACACTGATACACCAAGGTTATGAAATCCTATAGTGTGGTTTGTACAGTGCAGCCAATGTAAGCACATGGTGACAAATTCATGGACTTAATTATCAGACCTCATATATGTGCAGCATCCTTATAGATATTTTCACCTGACTGCTCACAGATACTTCTGACTTAACATATCCCAAAATAAACCAATTATTTGTCTTATCTTGGCCTGGATATTAAGATGGACTCAAAAAAGCAGTGTGCACATATAGGCAAAAATGGGTCTAAATAAAAGGGCAAAGTATAGCAAGATGCCAAAACCTCAGTTGTTAGATAAAAATGGAATCAGGGACAGATAAAAATTTTACTGGGGTCACAGGATAGGTATATAACATCTAATTACCAGCAAACTGGAGAATAAGATTAGTGCTTATTGGACTCCCAGATATTTCATTTTCTTTGGCACTACTGTAAAGGGAATAGAGTCCTTGACTGTTTTTTCAGCTTGACTATTGTTGGTAAATATGAGTGCTCTATGTGCATATCACTTAATAAAAGGAAAAAAAAAGAATTAGTGCTGAATTTTAAAATATCAAAATTAAGAAGATGGCTGACTGGTAGCAACCCTCGGCAGAGGCTCCAGAGCAGAAGAAGAAAAACTGGACGGAATCAGACTCTATGAAGCCAAAGGTGGGGAGCTGAGCCAAGAAAGAAGTTCAGCAAGCTGTAACTCCAAGGAAGAGTATTCAAGAAAACAAATTTCAGTTACAAAGCCTGTTGACTAGAGGATGGGAGACCCCTTCCCCAAGCAGGAGGCCTATGTCATACTTTAAAGATCTGGAAAAAAAAAATAGTGCTTCATTTTATATGGAATCAGAAAAATTATTAAATAGCCAAGATATTATTCAGAAATAAAAACAAATCAGGAAGAATCATGCTACCAGACATCATCCTATACTATAAATTTATAGTGATTAAAACAGCATGGTACTGGCACAAAAATAGAGAGGTAGATGTATGGCACAGAATAGAAAATCAAGAGATGAACCCAGACAATTAGCATCATTTGATCTTTGATGAGCCTATCAAAAACATAAATTGGGGGAAAGATTCCCTATTTAACAAATGGTGGTGGGTGAATTAGCTGGCGACTTGTAGAAGACTGAAACTGGACCCACATCTTTCACCATTAACAAAAATTGACTCTCACTGGATAAGTGATTTAAACTTAAGACGTGAAACTATAAAGATTCTTGGAGAGAGTGAGAGGAAACACTTGAAGAAATTGGCCTGGGAGAATACTTTATGAGGAGGGCAATTAAAGCAACACTGAATATACATTACTGGGATTTGATCAAACTAAAAAGCTTCTGTACAGCCAAGAACATAGTAAGTAAAGCAAACAGACAGCCCTCAGAATGGAAGAAGATATTTTCAGGTTATGTTTCTGATAAAGGTATGGTAACCAAATCCACAGAGAATTCAAACTTATTAATAAGAAAACAACAAGTGATTCAATTTCATTGTGGGCAAGAGACTTGAACAAAAGCTTCTCTGAAGCACACAGGCGCATGGGCTACAGGCACGTGAAAAAATGTTCATCATCTTTAATCATCAGAGAAATGCAAATCAAAATCACTTTGAAATATCATCTAACTCCAGTAAGAGTAGCCCACATTTCCAAATCCAAAACTACAGACATTGGCATGGCTGTGGAGAAAAGGGAACACTTCTGCACTGCTGGTGGAAATGTAAGTTAATATGTTCCTTTTGGAAAGAAGTTTGGAGAACACTTAGGGATTTAAAGGTAAACCTGCCATTCAATCCTGCAAGTCCTCTACTAGGTGTATATCCAAAAAACCAAAAATCACTTTGCAACAAAGATATTTGCACCAGATTGTTTTTTGCAGTTCAATTCATAACTGGCAAGTCACAGAAGAAGCCCAAGTGCCCATAGACACATGAATGGATTAATAAATTGTGGCATATGTATACTATGGAATATTATGCAGCCTTAAAAAAGATGGAGACTTTACCTCTTTTATGTTTACATGGATGGAGCTGGAACATATTCTTCTTAGTAAAGTATCTCAAGAATGGAAGAAAAAGCATCCAGTATACTCAGTACCATTATGAAACCAATTTATAATCACCCACACTTTCATATGAAAGATAAAACACAACTATAGCCCAAGATGAAGGAGGGACGAGGAGGGAGATGGGAGGGGACTGGAGATGTTGGACGTAGGGAGGGTAAACAGTGGGACCACACCTGTAGTGCATATTGCAAGGGTACATGTCAAATCTATTAAGTGTAGAGTATAAATTTCTTAACACAATAACTAAGTAAGTGAGGCAAAGGCTATGTTAACCAGTTTGATGTAAGCATCTCAAATTGTATATGAAATAAGCACATTGTACCCCATAAATGCATTAATGTATAAAAAAAGATGTAAACCAGTATCATATATTACATTGTTTGAAATACCAAAAAATAAAAAATAAAAAATGCTTAATCAAATTAGTAATAAGAGAAATGCAAGTTAAAACCTCAGTAAAATGCCATTTCACAACTAATTGCCAAGGACATTAAAAATTGATTAGAATTGGTGAGGATATGGAACAATAAAAAGAAAGTATATTAAAGGTCACTTAAATTGCTATAGTCATTTTGGAAAAATAATTTCATATTATGTGGTACAGTTAAATGCACCTTTTTTACCCAGAAATTACATTCCTTTGCAATATATAAACATATAAATAGTAACATATTTTCATATATACCATAGGAGACATAGTCAAGAATATACACAGCAGAACTGTATGTAATAGCAAAAACAAAAACTGAAACCAACCTAAATGTCTATTAACTGCAGAAAAGGAAAATAAATTGCTTCATCAAGAAGTGATAATAGGAGGCACTGACAACTTTTAAGCTTTGCGAAGCCTATGTGGACATTTGCTTATTCTTGCATGTGTGATAGACTTTATAAATGTAATGTATGTATATTGTACAAAGTTTAGACAACATAGAAAGGTATATGTAAGAAAACAAAAATTTTACCCAAGAGTATATTACCATAGATAACCACTGTTAATATTTTTGTGCATGTATTTCCAGACTTCAAACTATGGAATTATGTGTATTCATTTTTACTAAAGCATGTAAACATTTTCCTTTGTTACCAAATCTAGCTAAAATACTTTTTAAAGGAAAAATATGTATGAAGTACATATTATACAGTGATTATACAATACTATCTCATGAAAACACTACTTTTACCAACAGAACAAGCACTTATGACATAAAGTTTAAATCTCAAGAAAATAACACTTGGAGGAGAACAATTCTTCATGGAAAGAAAAGACTTCCTTACATAGTTTCTTTGAAATTTTTCCAAGGTTTTCATATTTAGCTTCTGTCACTTTTAAGTTAAGAACATAATCAACAAAAGTGCTTGCACAAAAGCAAAGAGAGTTCTATTAATAATACAGTAGTGGAAGAAGTAGGAAGTGGTTGCTACTTTTAGACTGGATTGCCTTCTCTGACCATTTCTATGTAAAATAAAATAGAGTATAATTCTGTGGTCTCCTCTCTTGTTCATTTTTCTTCACAGTACGTACTCATCACTTACTTCATTTATTTGTCTCCTCTGATACAATATAAGCTCAAAAAGGTCAGGGAATTTTTTTTGCTGACTGCTATATTTCAGTCCTTGGTTCACTGTCTGGGACATAATAATTACTCAATAATTACATGCCAAATGAATGCACAAATTAACCAAATGAGATAGATGTTATCATCTAACTAGCACCTATGGGGGGGAGGAAATGTGAATACTAACTATAAAATTATACTTTAAATTTCAAAATATATTCATTTTACATCAAAAAAATCTTTGTTTTTCTTCAAAGAGCATTTTACCTCATTAACATCAGCGTGTGTTTTTACTTCCAATGTTGGAACACGAGTTGCACGTGAATTTGAAATATTACCAAGTTCTCCCAAATCATTTGTCATCTTTTCAGTTGTAAAAAAGTTGTCCTTGGTTATTGCTCTAAATTGAGAAGGAAAAAAATAACTTTAGAAAAATCATATATCTCACTAATATTTAAAAAATATAAAGAATTCTTACAACTGAACAAAAAAAACAACCCAACTAATAAGGTAGGTAAAGGACTTGACTAGACATTTCTCTAAAGAATATATACGTTGAATTGTGTGTGAAAACACCACCCTGTACCCTAGAAGTGCATTAATGTACACAGTTACCATTCAATAAAAAAATAAATAAATAAAGAATATATACAAATGGACAATAAGCACAAGAAAAGATGTTTAATGTCACTAGTCATTAGAGAAATGCAAATCAAAATTACAATGCAATAATGTATTAGTTTATGCTAATTAGGATAGCTATTATTCTTTTTAAAAACAGAAAATAATAAATGTTTATGAGGATTGGAACCCTGGTGTACTGCTGGTAGAAAGTAAAAATGTACAGCTACTGTGGAAAACAGTACGATAGTTCTCATGTCAAATATAGAATTACCAAGTAATCCAGCAATTGCACTGGAAAGAACAGAAAGCTAGGACCCAAAAAGATATTTGCACTCCATTTTGTAGCAGCATTATCCACAATAGCCAAACGGTACAGTCAAAACATTCATCACTAGATGAATGCATAAACAAGATGTGGTATATTCATGGAATGGAATATTATTTAGCTTTAAAAAGGAGTGAAATTTGGCCATAGTGGTCAAAACAGCATGGCACTGACACAAAATTAGAAACATAGACGTTTGGAATTGAATAGAAAACCAGGAAATAAAACTATCATCTTATAGCCACCTAATCTTTGATAAACCAAACAAGAACATACACTGGGGGAAAGAACACCTATTCAATAAATGGTGCTGGGAGAACTGGATATCCACATGTAAAAGACTGAAACTGGACCCGCAGCTTTCTTCACTCACAAAAATTGATTCAAGATGTATGAAAGACCTGAATTTAAGGCATGAAATGATAAAAATCCTCAAAGAAAGCATGGGAAAAACACTGGAAGATATCAGCCTGGGGAAAGACTTTATGAAGAAGACTTCCATGGCAATTGCAACAACAAAAATAAACAAATGGGACTTAATTAAACTGAAAAGCTTCTGCACAGCTAAGGAGACAACAACCAAAGCAAATACACAACCTACATAATGGGAAAGGATATTTGCGTATTTTGAATCAGACCAAAGCTTGATAACTAGGATCTACAGAGAACTCAAATTAATTCACATATATCAATGGGCAAGAGACATGAATAGACCCTTCTCTAAAGAAGACAGATGAATGGCTAGCAAACATATGAAAAAATGCTCATCATCCCTAATTATTACAGGAATGCAAATCAAAACCACCCTGAGATATTATCTAACCCCAGCGAGAATGGCCCACATCACAAAATCTCAAAACTGCAGATGCTGATGTGGATGTGGAGAGAAAGAAACACTTTTACACTGTTGGTGGGACTGCAAACTAATAGAAGCTTTTGGGAAGGAAGTATGGATAACTCTCCAAAAACTCAAACTAGACCTCCCATTTGCTCCTACAGTCCCATTACTGGGCATCTGCCCAAAAGAAAAAAAATCATTTTACCATAAGGATATTTGCACTAGACTGATTACAGCTCAATTTACAACTGCCAAAATGTGGAAATAGCCTAAATGCCCACCAACCCAGGAATGGAATTAACAAGCTGTGGTATATATATGCCATGGAATACTATTTAGTCATTAAAAAAGATAGAGACTTCTCATCCTTTGTATTAACTGGATGGAAATGGAGAACATTATTCTTAGTAAATCATCACAAGAATGGAGAAGCAAGAATCCTATGTACTCAATTATCATATGAGGACACTTGATGACCTCATACGTGGTGGGGGGTGGGGGAAGAAGACAGCAGAGAGAGGGAAGGAGGGATGGGGTCATGGGTCATGACACACCTTTTGGGGGAGGGACACAATTAAAAGAGGGACTTTACCTAACAAATGCAAAGAATATATTCTGGTTCTTTGTAGCCTCAATGAATCCCCAACAATAAAAAAATAAAATAGATACATTAGAAAGCTAATGCAGGCTCGGCACCTGTGGCTCAAGTGGCTAAGGCACCAGCCACATACATCTAAAGTGGCAGGTTTGAATCCAGCCCGGGCTGCCAAACAACGATGGGTGCAACCAAAAAAAAAAAAAATAGCCAGGCATTGTGGCAGGCGCTGGTGGTCCCAGCTACTTGGGAGGCGGAGGCAGGAGACTCGCTTGAGCCCAGGAGTTGGAGGTTGCTGTGAGCTGTGATGCCATGGCACTCTACCCAGACAGCTTGAGGCTCTGTCTCAAAAAAAAAAAAAAGAAAGAAAGCTAATGCAAAAATACACACAAAAATAAAAAGGAGTGAAATTCAGATACATGCTATAATGTCAACCTAATTTCCATTATGCTAAATGAAATAAGTCAGAAACAAAGGCACAAACATTGTATAAATCCAAGTATATGAGGTACTTAAATATGTAAATCTATAGAAACAGAAAGTTACCATGGCTAGAGGCAGAGACGGTAATGGGTTGATACATAGTATTCATTGTTAATGAGTACAAAGCTTCCATTTGGAGTGATGAAAAAGTTCCGGAAATGGATAGTGTTGATGGTTGCACAACACTGTGAATGGACTTAATGCCACTGAATTGCACACTTACAAATGGATAAAATTATTTTATATTATGTATAATTTACTACTATAAAATTATGTCTCATTTCATGAGGATGAGGAACAGCAGGAAGTGAAAATAATTGAGGAGAAAGCCTACATATTTTATGAAAAGTTATATACACTAGATAGGAAAATCACTATATAGTTGTATTCCATGTAAGTTAAAGTCCTGGCACTGGTTCAAACCAGTTATAAGGCCTTAGTGTTATCGATTCAGTAATAATTAGAGAAACAGAATAGATTATCTTTAATATTTTTGAATTCATTTTTTTCAGCTCTCTAGTTATGATAATGAAAGTTTGATTTGACTAAAATGATATTGCTAAATTTGGGTGGTTTTGACAAATTATAAAGTATTCCACCGCCTGAATTAACATTCCATGTTTCACAAGATACTGTGGATAGATTCAGTTGTGGAAAATAAGAAAATGCTTTGTTTTCAACAGCAGTATTTAAATAGAAGATAAAAATATTTTTCAAATAGTTTCTTAGTTGGAGAAATATTCAATAGATATTTCTTGCAATTAACTCAGATTCCAATTGGACCTCGTAGCTCCTTCCATAATCATTTTCATGTATCTTGAAGATGTAGCTCTGAATTTGGAAGTCACAGTACATCTATGTATAGGGTTGTCATATTTAGCAAATAAAGAACACCTAGTAAAAACTGAATTTCAAATAAACAATGAATAATTTTTAGTATAGGTAATAGTTGATACATACTTATATAAAGAAGTATTTGCTATTTATCTGAAATTCAAATTATATGGAGAATCCTGTATTTTTTATGGCAACCAGACCAATGCAGAAGGGGAGAGGGAGGGGAGGGGAGAGGGGAGGGTGGGGGAAGAGAATGATATTGTGGGGATCACGCCTATGATTTATCCTATTAAGGTACATGTGAATTTGTCTAAAGGTCGAATATAAATGTCTTACAACAATTATGAGAAAGACATGATGGCTATGTTAACCAGTTGGATGAGAGTTTTTCAAATTGTATATGGAAGCAACACACTGTATCCTATGATAGAATTAATGTACACAATTATGATCTAATAAAAAAATTTTTTAAAAGTTTAGAAATTTTTCTTAAATGTTATAGACAATATAAGTATTACTAAATAATAGGTTTAGGTAATTGCAAAAAAGTAAATAAAGTCTTCTACAGGAAGAATTTTCAAATCCTAGATTAAATTATTATATATTTCCTCCATAAATGGCAATATATTAAGAAATTATTACTAAAAATTACTTTTCTAAGTAAAAAAGTGGTTTACCTCATGAGATCTTCATTCTTTTTTTCCATTGAAAATGGAATTTTAGCAGAATCATTAAATAATTCCAAAAGTAGTGTGATTGTAGCATTCATAAGTTGTCGAATGAGTTCTTGAAATATGTAGTCAACCAGCATCACAAACCTGACATTTTTTTCTAATAAACGTCGATATTTAGGAAGCTTGAAATGTGTTGTATCATCTGAATGTTTTGACTCAAAATATTCCTTGATTCCTTTCTTTTCTGCAACCTACAATTTGATAAACAATTGAGAACAAGTGATAATTTCCTATGTTAATATATCATGATCTTTATGTTTTCTTACTTTAAATTTTTTAAATTATTATGGGTACGTGATAGTTATATATGTTAATAAGGTGATATTATGTTAAACATGTGATCTTTTGATACAGGCATATAATGAATATTAATCAAAGCAGAATAATTTGAGTATCCATCACCACAAGAATTTGTCATTTCCTTGGGTTAGGAATATTCCAATTTCACTCTTTTGGTTATTTTAAAGCAGAGGTGCCCAAACTTTCTTTTTCTCTGTAATGCATTGGAAAAATAGAAGCTGTCTTGGCATACATGGGTTAACATTTAGCTCTCTCCACTTATGAGTGAGAACACATGAGATTTGTCTTTCTGTGCTTGGCTTATTTCACTCAACACAATGTTCTTCAGCTCCATCATTGGAACTAATTACAGCATTTCATTCTTTTTCATGGCTGAATAATATGTGTATTCTATTGTGTCTGTGCTATATATTTTTATCTATTCATCTGCTGCTGGATACTTAGGTTGATTCCAAAATCTTGGCTATTGTGCATAGTGCTGCTATAAACATAGAAGAGCAGGTATCTTTTGAATACACTGATTTCATTTCCTTGGAGTAATTAGCAGTGAGACTGCTGGGTGACATGATAGTTCTATTTTTACCTTTTGAACATACTATCCTTCATAGTGGCTGCATTAATTGATATTCCCACAAATAGTCTGTGAAGGTTTGAAGGTTTCCTTTCACCATATCTTGTAGCATTCATTACTCCCTGGTTTCTTTTTTTCTTTTGAGATGGAGCCTCAAGCTATCCCCCTGGGTAGAGTGCCATGGCATCATGCTCACAGCAACCTCCAACTCCTGGGCTCAAGTGAGTCTCCTGCCTCAGCCGCCCAAGTAACTGGGACTACAGGCGCCCTCCACAATGCCTGGCCATTTTTTGGTTGCAGCCATCATTGTTGTTTGGCGGGCCCGGGCTGGGGATTCGAACCCGCCACCTTAGGTGTATGTGGCTGGCACCTTAGCCACTTGAGCCACAGGCACCGAGCCTCTTTTTTTTTTAAGTCATATATACACAGATCATGAATACATTTAAGCCTTTGTGGGATTCAATATATTGATTATTTGTTCAAATCGGAGTGCTTACATCCTACTAATTAACATAGCTTTCACCTCATTTACTACTTACTCCCTGGTTTCTTGAAAAGAGCTATTATAACTGGGGTGAGGTGACATCTCATTGTAGTTTTGATTTGCATTTCTCTAATGACTAAGGAGGTTGAGCATTTTTTTAATATACCTGTTTGCCATTTGTGTCTCTTCTTTTGAGAAATTCTAGTTTACAGTATTTTTAGTAGCCTGAGTAACATACTGGAACTCAACAACAATTTTCATAAAACTTCACTTCATGTTTTCACTATATTTAAACATCAAACAAAAAGAACACAATTTATGTGTGCTGGGGCCTATGAAGTTTGGTGCCTCACTTATAAGCAAATAATAAGTTTTGAAAATCAAACAAGGAAATACATACAAATAAATATCTACATGTTCCTACACAGAGGGACCTTCTTCAAATACATTGTATTTTACCAAAAGAGGAGGGTAAATCTAAATGTAAAGCTTCCTAAAACCAGGCACAGTACGTTTACCTCCATCACCCTGGCTTTCTACTTATTCAAAAGAATCTAACCATAGTTGGTACTGTTGTCAGTGATAAAAGGGATTTGCCTCTAGAACTCAGGCGAGCATTAATGAAAAACTCTCCACCCATACAAAAGATTTGCCTTCTCTCCCTATGTGACATTAGCAATTATGCCAAAGACAAGAAAGGTAGTTGTAGTACTTTCCACCCAACATGAAGATATGAAGGTGAAGATATGAAGGTAACAGATAACAAGAATAATCCAATTTTATAATGCTACTAAAGCAGGCGTTGATGTTCTTAATAAGTGAATGAGAATGTATTTCTGTCATTGAGGAACTCAGCATTGACCCCTCACAATTTTCTTCATCATTGACATTGTAGCAAATAATTTATATGTGATTTGTAAGGAAACAAACAGCCACTGGTCACAACTTCCTTCAAAGAAACAATCTGGAAGAAGATACTTATTGAAAGATTTCACAGGATGTCTCTGGGAAGAAAACATAAGAAGGTGTATCCAAAATGTGCATGGTCTCCACAAAATATCAATCAAGGACAAGGTGTGGTGATAAGAAGAACAGTTCATTTCACACCAAAAGGAAGAGTTATGAGACAAGCAGTGAAAAGCTTACCAAAAAGGGGGCATTGCTACCTTTGTCCCTGTGAAAGAGATTGGAAATAAATGAAGGCATGCAGTGAATGCAGCAAATACATTTGTCCCAGCCACACATTCAAAGAAAATATAATAAAAACAATATGTGGAGAATGTACAGCCACACATAAAAAGAAGAAAGTATAATGAAAAGAACATGCAGAGAATGTGATTAAAGTGTTGTTGGCTACTTGTACAATGATATATAAATTAATAGGTTTTCATGAAATTGAAAAAATAAATTTTTGCGGTACTGGCCATGTCTCTCTGGAAGAATGATTTACCAATGTAATGCTATTCTCTATTGATATAATATTTGCTTCAAAAAACTGGGCTAACAAAAAAAGATGGGGTAGCTCATACACCAATTAAGAGAGCAGTCACATTAGACCTGAAAAATAGAATACTAACTTTATTCATAATAAAGTAATATTTTTTCCACTGATATTACCCATGGCATGCTACTCCCAGCCTTACCTGCCTGAAGGACAAACTTATTTGCCTAAGCCTGAATTTAAATCCCTCCTTAAACCAACTGTGCCTACCTTTCCTGGATTCTCTCTCACTAAACACTAACAAACCTTTGTTTGTTTGTTTCTTTCCTTTTTTGGAGTGGGTTATGTTCTCCCAGGAGCTGCTATGAGATTTGAAAAACTTGTGTGCATAACGCATGGATTTATTTTTTAAGTAATAAGTGATGAAGCAGAGCCTATTAACTGTTCAAAATAAAGACTTTTATGAACATTTTTCAAAAAAATTAAATTTAAAGGTACAAATGTTTAGGTTACATTGTTTTCATTTATAAGGTAAAGCTCAAGTTATAGTTGAGCCCCTCACCCAGCAGGTGCGCTGAACGCCCTCACATTGTGCACATTAGGTGAGAAACCAATGTGCAACAATCACCCTCCTGCTGCACCCCTCCCCTCTCTCAGCTCTCTTCTTCCTCTTGCTAGATGATACTTGGGTTTTTCTTTCCTGTGGGTGAGTGGTTGTTTATGCATATATTGGTTTTATATTAGTATTGAGTACACTGGATACTTGTTTTTCCATTCTTGTGATATCATACTAAAAAGAATGTGTTTCAACTGCATCCAGGTAAACACAAAAGATGTAAAGTCTCCATCTTATGGCTGAATAGTACTCCATGGTATACTATATGACAGTTTGTTAATCCATTCATGGGGTGATGGGCACCTGGGTTGCTTCCATGTCTTGGCAATTGTGAATTGAGCTGCAATAAATATTCTAGTGCACATGTCCTTCTGGTAAAATCATTCTTTTTTTCTCCTGGTTAGATACCTAGTAATGGGATTGCAGGTCAACCTTTAGTTCTTTGAAAAGTCTCCGTATTTCTTTCTGTAGAGGTTGTATTAATTTGTAATCCCACCAATAGTACAAAAGTGTTCCCTTACCTCCATACCCTAGCTAGCATCTGCAGATTTAGGATTTTGTGATGTGAGCTAATCTCCTGGGATTAGGTGATATCTCAGAGTGCATTTCTCTGATGATTAGGGATGATGAGCATTTTTTCGTGTGTTTGTTGGCCATTCATCTGTTTGCTCTTTTTTAGTTGATTTAGTTCTCTGTAGATTCCAATTATTAGCCCTTTGTCAGATTTATAACAGGCTTCTCCCATTCTGAAGGCTGTTTGCTTCAGTTGTGGTACCATAAGCAGTGCAGAAAGTATTTAGCTTGATCATGTCCCATTTATTTATTTTTTGTGTTGCTACAATTGCCACGGGACTTTTTTTCCATAAAATCATTTTCCAGACTGATTTAATAGAGGTTTACCCACACTTTCTTCTAGAATTTTAGTTTCATGTCTTAAATTTAAGTCTTTTATTGAGTAAGAGTCAATTTTTGTGAGTGGTGAGAGGTACAGGTCCAATTTTAGTCTTCTACATGTGGTTAATAGTTCTCCCAGTACTTTGATTAGATAGAATTCTTTTCCCCAAAGTGTGCTTTTGTTGGGTTTATCAAAGATCAGATTATTATTATAAGGATGTTTCAAATACCACTGTGAAGGGTATTGTGCCTTTGATTTTATTCTCAGCTTGACTGCTATTGGCAAATATGAAAAAATCCCAAAATGTCACTATATTTCTTGATCACTTCTAAGAGTTTTGTGTTGAGTCCCTGGGGTTTTCCAGGTATAAAATATTGAATAAATTTTGTATTTCTGTGGTATCTGTTGTAATTTACCCTTTTGTTTCTTACTGAGGTTACTAGAGATGTTACTTTTCTGTTTCTGGTTAGTTTTGCCAAGGGTTTATCAATACTACAAAAAACTTTATTCCCAGAAATATGACAATCTGAAGGAAATCGACCAATACTTGGAAGCTCGCCACCTCCCAAGACTCAGCCAGAATGAAGTGGAAAAG